AAATGTATTGCTGAGAGAGGGCAAGGAGAGCTAAGTGCTTGTCCTGTTCCCCCCTGCCTCTTTCTTATTTGAAATCTTCTAGCTTTAGAAGTGTGTTTAAAGCTTAGCAACTCAGTGCTGACCCAGACCCCTAAACTGTGCAAGTACTAGAAAGTGTAGCTAAGGAACTTTCCTTGAAATGGCCTCTCAATAAATTGGTGATACAGGAACTATTTCATGTGTTGATAAATCATAGTAATCTGTCCAGGCTCGTTAGCTGGGAGTGAGGGGGAGTCCCTCACTGTGCTCGCCAGGCAGAGCCTGGGGGCTTCACTTCCCAGAGGCTTCTCCTGGGGAAAATTTGTACATTATTTTGGGCTCCACTACCTAACACAGATGGAAGCCCCTGGCAAGAAGGGAAATGCTCATTGTGCTTTTTGGGAGAGGAACACGGCCAAATGCATAAATAGCTAATTTCTTGCTTTTTAACCATAGAAATTTGTTTATTGGTTAAACTCAAAGTCCCCTTAACCCATTTACTCTGTTTTAAATTACACAAGCAGTGTTGTTTCACTAACACAGTATGTTTTTATGATTAAATCCTAACCATTCTAAGCAAGCCTGTGTACCCAGAGGGATTTGCTGTCTTGGCTCTGCTTTTACGTGTGCACAGTGCTGTGTTCCTCCTCTGAGCAGAGCCTCCTGCTTCTCTTGGATCTACCCAGGCTGGGTCAGAGCATGAATTCCAGTAGAGCTCTTTCTGAACATGGGGTGCAGGTGGTGATTTATCTTTCCTTGAGACTGGAGGTTCTAAATTTTTGTGCACAAGAGCAGCTATTTCTCCCCCTCAGGGGAAGTCAGTGAGAACTGTCCTTCAGAACACATCCTGGTTTACATACTGCTGCCCTATACCAGGTTCCCATCCTCACCAAAGGATATATGAAAGATCAGTCTTTCAGCCTGTCTGGCTTTATCTTGATTTATTAACTGAGAGGCTGTTGTGGAAAGAATCAGGGGTAGGTTTCAAAGGGCCTTTCCTGAAGGCATTGTGCCAAGTCCTGTCTCTTGCTTGATGCTTTCCAGCTCAGGCTTCTTGAGAGGAGAAATATATCCCTAGAAGGGGAACAGAAGAGGAAAGGTGTGATGTCCATCTGCTCTCAGTGACTTTTTCAGGCAACCTGGCACTCAGGAGCCCGTGTTTGCACAGGTCACAGGGTGTGTTTCAAGTGTTTACCCTCCTCTTTGGAAAGAATCAGGGGTAGGTTTCAAAGGGCCTTTCCTGAAGGCATTGTGCCAAGTCCTGTCTCTTGCTTGATGCTTTCCAGCTCAGGCTTCTTGAGAGGAGAAATATATCCCTAGAAGGGGAACAGAAGAGGAAAGGTGTGATGTCCATCTGCTCTCAGTGACTTTTTCAGGCAACCTGGCACTCAGGAGCCTGTGTTTGCATGGGTCACAAGGGTGTGTTTCTGTTGGTGGAGCTATTTCAAGTATTTACTCAGCTCTTTGGACACATCAAAATACCTTTCACAGAAATTTTTACTTCCTGAGACCATTGTGCAGTTAAATAGAAACCTGCTATTTCCCATTTTGTGGCAGAAGAGGTAGCAGCACAACCTGAACAAGTGCCAGCTGGGACATTGCTCACCCTTTCTGTAAGACACCTTTCCTCTTGATGAAGACAGGACAGCTTTTCCTAAGCAGCTGTTAGCTCAGTCATGTTTCCCTCAGATTTCAGTGGTCACCTGATAGTTCTCTGGCTTGGAGGTTGGGGATGGGAACTGTAGCTGGCTTTGTGTATCTTTAAGGTGACTGTGTTTAATAATGCTTTACTTGTTTAGTTTGAACGGTTTCATCATCTGTCTTGTCTTCCTTTCATAGCAGGAGTGAGAGAATGAGCACGATTCTTAATCCACTAGGAAACACAGTATTTATTGTTCTCAGGGGCTACATTAAGCATGAGACCTGCTCCTATCCCAGTGGAAGAGCCAGAATGGAGACAGACACCTCCCCCAGTCACAGCTACCTCCGGGACCTTCAGGCTACGGCGAGGCAGTCGCTTCACGTGGAGGAAGGAGTGCCTGGCAGTTATGGAAAGGTATGTCCCCTTGGGCTCTTGGAGGTGGCATTCTAAAGCCAATCCAGGTTCCTTTTTCCTGCTCTGATGAACACCAGCTTCATTTGCAGGGGTATGTTTTCATGTTATGGGAAGCAGTAACAGTGTAATCATTTGATTCTAGATGGTAGAGTAGGAGGAGCTATTTTATCTCTTCTGTTGTTTAAAGAATGTTCTACTGCTCTGGAGTATATCTTGGGTTTTGTAACTCCTAAGACATCTTGTCCTTGGCTCAGTGTGCAAGTACTGGTGTTCAGTGCTGCCTTTGCTTTTGCACAAAGCTTTCCACCCAGCCTAATCCAGGCTCTCTTGGTTGGGGGTCTGCACACTCTTATATTCTACACAACTCCTTTCCCAATTTACTGATTTGTCCTCATCACGTATCACGTTGTGTTACAGTTGATACTGGCATTTCAGCAGCACTGTAATTGTGCAGGATGCAGAACTTTGCCTAACAAGCAGTAGATTCCCTGTCCAAAAAAGCTCTTACAACCCTTTTACATGGGTTGGGAACAGTACAGAGCAAAGTGGATCTTTCAAATACATATGCAGAGTGGCAGGTGATCATTAGAGCTCCCAGCTCTTCAGTCCTGCAGAGAAGCAGCACATTCTGAGGCTGGTCTCCTGGCCTCCTGTGTGCTTTGCCTTTCCCTCTGCTTACAGTAACATCTCTTTTGTGGGTAATATTGTATAACAGAAAAGGGCTGGTGAACTCAAACGTGGCTTAGGGATGAATGCTTATTTCTGTTAGAGCTAACGGGCTGGGAGGAGTTTTCTGCCTTCTGAGAGCATGAGGCACACATGACTCTCTGTGTGCCACACTCCTGTTTGTAGCTCCGTTGAGTCCTTGGCCAGCAGATTTTTGGGATGTCCTTTCTGTAATGCTTCTCTTTCCTCTTCCTTTCACAAAGGTGTTTGGAACTGATTAGGAGCAGGAGAGTGTCTCCTTTTGCCTAAGCTGAGACCAAAATACTGAACTCCCTCAGGGCCCTGAGCCTTTTTACACATAAGATGGACATAGGTCTGTGTGGCCACAGGCCATCACAGGGTCTTTGTAGGGCTGAGACCAGTAACAAAGTGTTTGTTTCCCTGTTCTTTAGCACTTCAAAATGCTGGTATGACTGTCCTGATGGCTCAGTGTGCCTTCAAGACAGTGCCATCTCCTTATGAATCCCCTGCATGTGAAGTACTTGCTTACTCTGAGGTAGAACTGGAGCTCTGTGAGCATGGTTTCTGTCTGGCCTAAAGTGCTGTAACTGCTATTGCTTGTTGCTTGACTCATGATAGTGCCTTAGACTCCTGTGTTGTGGAAACACAGAGCAGAAAGAGAGAGCCAACCAAGCAATCTCTTCCCTTCTCTCCTCCAGATCTCCCCCCAAGTGCTGTGACACTCTCAAGAAGTCAGATAACCTCTGTGGTTTGGTATGTGTCTGTTAGAAGGATGTAAGATTTGGGTTTGCCTATGGAAAGGAGCAAGTCTGTGTGGACATTGGAAGCCAGCCAGCTGTGTGTGCAGATACATCACCACTGGATCTGATTCTTCATTACCCTCTTTCTTCTTTGTCATTCTTGGGTTTGTTTGCTGCAGCTTGTGCTCCATAAGGTCTTTGCTGCTGGGGTTTTCTTCTTACTCTGCTGGTAGATGGAGACTTCTGCCACGTTGCCTTAATCTTGGCTTTAATATTAATTTGCAGAGCTCTTTCTGGGTCACCACAAGCACTGAATTTCACAGACTTGGGGGGGGGGGTACTGGGAAGTGTGGCTGAGGAGTTTCTCTTGAGGCAAGAACACAGTAAACTCTAAGTGGTAAAAGCTTTGTATGACAATAAAACTTCCCCATAAAGCAAGCTGGGAATATGGTTATTTAACAGTTAGGCTGTAATAGACCTTGTTGAGCTGTAAGGATGAGCTGGTTTATGTGACAGCTTTTGGAAGAGTGAGAGGAAAAGGTTCTCTTGGGAGCCTTAGGAACAAGTTAACTAATCTCACTAACGAGTCACGGGGGTCTTGCAGGCTTGTCAGTAATGGGACTCACCACAGCAGCCAGGATGAGGGCAACCAGACTCCTGGCTGTCTGGCCAAGCAGCTTGGGTTCACCTGCTGCCAGAGGGCCAGGAATAAGCATTTGGCCCACTCAAATGGTGGCTGGCATTGCCTGTGGTCAAAATGCAGTCTGCATTTTCCTCTGAAGGATTTTGTCTCGGAGTGGAGGCGTCTCACTCCACTTAAAGGACTGTTTTCCTTAATTAAATGCAGGTTTCATTGCATTGCATTGGTGTGTCCTTCAGCATCTTGATGTGCTGGTGGTGCACACAGGGATTTAGGCACCTCGTTTTGAGCTGCTTATTTGGAAGCCTCAGTGAAGTGCTTGTTCATGTAGGCTTCTAGCTATTCAGCAGTGAGAAACAGATCCAGAAGACAATTCCACCCCACTAATGCAACTCACATGAGGACTATGCACCTTCCTCTCTGGCTACAAAAGAGGAGCCTTCTGCCATGAGAGCTAACTTTGGTGATTTAATCAAATACTTTAAGATAGGAGGATAGAATCTAGACTTTAATGGAAACTCTTGTGTAAAAAATACAGAAACATTTCTTCCTGTAAACTTCTGAAACATTGCTGTGAAGCTGTATAAACATTTTTTGGGTGAGAATCAGTCTCTGGGTGCTCTATCAGCTAATTGTGGTATGTGCTTTTGACTTGGATTCAGTTGGTAGGAAATGCAGTTGCTAAAAGTCGATGTGTCAAACCAGCTGAGAGCACTTCAAGGTAAGAATCTGAATTTGATTGCAAAAATGAGACAGATTTGCTTCTAAATACAGGCTTGCCAACTGAAAATGCACAGCACCAGTCAGGATTTGGCCCATGAACTGAAGGCAAAGGGTCAGGGTTGAAGGGCTAGCTTCTCTTTTTTTAAAAAAAAAAAATTAATCAACAAAACTTCCAGTGCAATTAATTATATTGGTGCCAATCTGATAAAATTAAGATTAGCGTCAGGCCAGCACATACACTTAAATGTCTAGTGGACATAAGTGTCTGTATACAGGGTATGTGTATTAAAGAAACTAATTGGTTTATACTGAATTTCCAGAATGCTGTTTCTGTAATTCAATTCTCCAGTCCTCACTGCTTTTTGGAAATTCTCCCAGGGTAGTTTATTAGTCAGTAGACTTAGATTTTGGACAATAGATTCAAGTCTCTTTCTCCTCTCTCCTTGCTTTTTTTTTAAAAAATATCTCTCCGAATATTTATGCTCTGAAGGTGAAGAGGAGCAGTAGTTCCAGAAAGTAAAGTTCTATATTTAACTGCAGACTAGGTGTGGTTCAGACAACTGCAGTGCAAGCTCCCTCTCGCTGCTGTGCTGGTGATACCAACCTTGACCTGTTCTCTTCTTGAGCCTCCTGCTCATGAAATATTCTGAGTTTTGTGCGTGGTGATGTTGTCGTGTGGCTCTACCCTCCTTTGGGAACAGAGCTAAGACTACAGTAGTCCTCTCTGTGAAAACCTGAGGTTAAACTTGAAAGCCTGTTTCTGGTTCAGTTTCATGTTCTTCTTCCTTACGTCTTGTCCCAAAGATGTATTTTTTTTTTTCTTTTCTCTCTTTTACTTCTTCTTTTCAACCCTCTCTCGTTAGGACTATGAAATTGAAAATTCCCTTAGGGTGTTTTTCTTTTTTATTGAAGCTGCATTTTCTTTTATTTTTAATTTTTTTTTTTTTCCCAAAAGTGTTTTGTGCTCTTCTAATCATGTTTAGAGTTGAGGTTTATCTTCTTTTTCAGGCAAAAACCCCTCTAAGATTGGCAGCAGAAGCAGTGACTGTATACCCGTTTTAAGGCACTTTTGTGGAGTGCCATTAAAGGGGGGAGGGAGAGTGGAGTGTTGTTTTTTAGGTATATACCTTATCCAAAGATTAAATTAAAATAACTGTAAAATCTGCTCTAAACAAAATGAATAATTCATCAGTTGGAAGCGTTCAGTTTGTCTGGGGAGAAGGGACTTTGCTTTCTGGTTGAGGATTATTGGGGTTGATTTTATGGGTCTGGTTTTTTGTTTTTACACTTGTCTGCACTCTTGAAGCATCCTTTTGTACAGATGTGTTTAGATTAAGTAAGACTAGATGATGTAGATAGCTATTATCACCATTTCAGAGATGGCAAAACAGAGTCAGGCCTTTCACTTGGCTTTGAGATCCAAGGCGACTTTATTCATAAGAAAATGGGGTTAGATTTCCCAAGATACTGAGGGTATAGATTCATGGTATAGCTGAGCTGAATTAACAGTTTGTCACCATCACATCCTTAGGTGTTATCCTGTCTCATCGCCCTTCTCAATTCCTCCTCCTCAGTTTCCCTGCTCCTGCCACCCTGCACTGTGCCAGAGAATTGTCTGATTGAAATACCGGCCGATTCCACTTGATTCAGACAGAATAATTCCTTTTTATTGCCCTCTGTGTTTTATTGAATTGCTTCAGCTCACCATGCAATGAGGGTGTGCCAGAGCTGGCACAGGGCAAATCACAGGAGTGCACAACTGGGAGCAGGGGAAGGGGATGTTCAACAAAAAGATATATGAATGTTCCATGGTGGTTTTTGTCTCTGTTTGGTTTTGTTCTGATTTTGTTTGGTTTGGGCTGGATGAGTTTCTGGTTTGGTTAAAACCACGCTCATGCTGACAATTGTGCTGGCATCATGGGAAGAGGTGTCCTTTGA